GGTTGTTTGTTGGCCCATTCTCCCTCTGGGCCTGAAGGACTAGATTCCTCCTTAATGATGGAACTAAGATCATTGCATGGTTTTCCAATGTTAGGTCCTGAGGAGGCCTCACATCTGTTGAGAATTTGTAAAGTGCTAATGGGCAACTGAGTACATATCTCTTCTCTCGTTGGTCCCTGAATAGTTACACTTTTACTTCGTTGATTCTTGAAAACTCTAGGACTGGTCCTGACCCAGCAGATTTATTTCTTCTTCCTCCTCCATTTGTATGTTTTCTGGTTTTGGTGCATTGGGAGGGTCTTGAGCCTGAGGGATTATTGGTGGGATCTGAAGTGGAGCAGGGAGATATTGTGGGGGTGGTAGGTGTGCATGGGATAGTGTCTGTATGTTGGAGTTGTTTTGTGGAGCTACACTGTCGAATGGGGTTGTCCAAGGAATGAAGATTGAGTTCATATTGTTGATCTCCCCTGGTGGGAAGAAGAGGAGATCGATTGGAACTTGCTGAGATTGGATTGGGTTGAAATGAGGGGGAAGACTCCATTGATTTCTCATTGCTTGAGCTTGACTCAGGTTCGACGATTGGGCTAGGGGGTGGAGGATGTTGTTCATCCACACATTGTTGAGATAGTTGCTCATCGCCCTGTTCATGCCTTCTGATACTAATTGTGCTAGGAAGTGGGAGTTTCAGAGCACAATAATCATTTCCTAGCCATTTAGAACCATGCTGAATGTTATTGCATGGCCCATGAGGGCTTGTTCCACCCATGAAAGAGGTTGATGATCTTGTGGTAGTGGTGGCTGGATGAAGAAGGTCTGGTTGCCCGTTGGTGAATTTTGTGGTAGAGGTGAGTTGGACATGTTTAGGGCTCGTTGGTGCCTTAAGATTTGCACTAAACGATACCTTCTTCTCTGAGTTATTGAAATTCTTGGCATTGTCAAGAGAAGAGGTAAGGTTTATATAAATGTTAGGAGAAGTGTTGTTTAGGGTTGTGTTGTGATTAGCCATGTTGGGGAGGCTATCAATGATTGTATCTGTAGAGATATCTTTGAGGTTACTTGGAGCAGTTGTATTAAAAAGATTTGGCCTTGATTCTGTGTGAGAAACATGGTTGATTCCATTGGCCATTTGGGGTTGATGTATAATTGTTTGTCCACGTGGTGAGAGTTTAGATGTGGAGAATTACTCTCCATGTAGAGAGGTAAGTCCTCATTAGTGAGGGATTGGATACTATTAGTTAGTTGAGTATTATTTGTGTGTGGAATACGTTTTGTTTTAGGGGGAGAGGGGGGGCAGGGAATCATTAGACATAGTAGTGAAATTATTTGATTGCATATTATTTAATTGACTTATTTTAGGGGCTGCCAAATGGATGTCCATTAGCTGACTGACTGCTACATCAATAGCCATGCAAGAAGTGTCGTTACTTCCTAGACCATATTTGTTTGTATTGGTGAGATTAGACGGAGACTCCAAAGTATCAAAATTATTGTTTGTGACAATGTGAGTTTTGTTGTGGTTAAGCTTCTTAGCATTTAGTAAGGGAGTTGTAATAGCTTTATTGATAGTAACGGTACTTTTGCCATCTAGGTTAATATTTTGTAGAGGGGGTTTAGACTTACCTGAGGTGAAAGGAATTGGAACAACTGTCTTACCAGAGTTGTGGTGTGGCATTTTTGGCTTGTGGATGGATCTTCTTTTTTTGGGGAAAGTAACAGTGTGCCAGGCATCCTCCTTGGGCAGAAAAGATCATGTTTGCATGCTGGAATTAGAAGTGTCCAACGCCTTGGATTGGCTACTAGCACAGTTTCCTTCTGGATTGGTAGATTTGCTCCTTTGCTTTATGTAGTTGCATGAGGCCATTGAGTGACCTAATCTGCCGCAATGTTTGCATAGAAAATTAACCCCTTCATAATGAATTTCCTGCTTATGTTGGCCAATGAAAATGAATGGTGTAACGGGGACCTCTAATGGCACCTTTATGCAAAGCCTAGCATAACGACCCCTTAGAGTGGAAGAAGTACATGCATCAATCTTTAGTAGTTTGCCAATTTTATTGCCAACTTTTTGAGTATTTGTCCGTCATAAATTCCATTGGCAAATGTGGTAAGCGTATCCATATAGCGACTTGTGTTAATTTAGCCTTTGAGGCAATAAAATTAGGCACCCATTTTTGAACGGATAGGAAGTGATCGAAGATGAACCAAGGCCCATTTTGGAGGACTTTGAGCATGCTATCTTTATTGCTAAATTTTGTAATATAATAATCTGACCCTAGATCGATCAGTGGAAAGTTTTCCTTTAATTTTCACAAGTCTTGAATCTTCCGTTTGAGTAATTGGTGTTGAATCCTCATTCCTTGTAGTTTTATAATTGTTGAGTACCTCCAAGGAGAGTAAATTCTTTGAGGATCTTCTGGAGATAGTTGAATTAGGTGATCACCATTTGAGTGGGAGATGAAGTTTCCCATATCATCAGAATGGTTTGGATGAGGTTGGTCATGTGAATCGATGATCATGTTAATCTGACCATCTTGTAAGCCAACGATTAGTTTGTCTTTGAAACTAGGGTTGGAAGGAGTAGTAGTTACTGCGGAATACATTGGATCAATATCAGGTGGTTTAGGAGGGATTAGATTAGAGATCTTTGATTGTTGCATGGTTAGACAGTTGATACCTTTTTAGTGAGAAGGAGGAGATTCTCTCACTAAAACTTTCCAGCAAGCTCGAATAGATCCACAAGTGTATATCTTCTTGTAAGGGAAGATAGGCAAAACAAGAAGATATGAGGAGAAATTTTGGGGTAAGGGACATTGTAATTTCTATTTATATGAAAAGAATAAAACCCCATATTGTGATGCTTACACAAACTTTAGGCACACCAAAATATGAGTAGCAAAATTGATAATGTTAAAGAGTAAATAATTCAGTGAATTCAAATTATCCAAAGTCGCGGAAATTATAATGACAAAGACTATACAATAATACAAATTGTTTATTAGGAAATTTTCTGAAAAATTGTTCAAACACTATTAAATTTGGTAGGCCTTCCAATGGGCTTTGTAACTTGCATCTACATAATATATAATGGGCCTTCCAATGGGCTTGGAGGTAGAAAGTAGGGGGTGAAGTACAAAAATAGAGCTCAAAGTGAATGGTCTTAAATTTTTGTTCTTGCTTTTTCCATGGGAAAAACTTCAATTTAATAAGTATTGTTGGCTTGCTCCATGATTAATATTTTTACCTTTTGACCACAAAATTTTACCTACGATAAATAGGGCAAAAAGTTAAAAGACCACACAAGAAAATATCATATGTCTGCAATTTTTTTCAGAAAATAGCCCAGCACTAAAGTCGTAAAAATTGCACGGGACGCCCTATTTGGTCACCCTCATTTAACATATACCCATTTTTTAAAAAAGTTTTAACTTGTACCTACTTTTTAAACAACTTCAGCCCCCTTTCTCCTCCTCATTCTCCTCCTTCGTCTTCTTCTTCTTCTTCTTCTTCTTCTTCTTCTTCTTCTTCTTCTTCTTCTTCTTCTTCTTCTTCTTCTTCTTCTTCTTCTTCTTCTATTGCTATTGGTGCTTCTATGAAACTTCAGTTCATGGGATGATTTTCATAAATATATTTATCAAATTATTTAAAAATAAATTATAAATAATTACGTAAGTTAGTAACAATAATTTGTGAATATTTCCATGTACGGGAAGTTTAAGGTCACACTTAGTGATTCTTTTCATGACAATTCTGTTCTTTTCACGTTTATTGTTTCCAAAATTTATGATTTAGATACTGTTGGCAATCTGATTATTTATTTAGTATGTTAGAAAGCTTTTTCAAAAACTTCAGCTTATATAGTGTTGAAGTTTTTACAAATGAACTAAATAATTTCAGCATCTTCTGCTGAAGTTTTTGAAAAAGCTTATCCATGACAAAAAAACTTCATCTTATTTAGTGATGAAGTTTTTATAAATGAACTAAATAACTTCAGCATCTTCTGCTGAAGTTTTTGAAAAAGCTTAATGACAAAACTAATGAATCCAGGACAAAAAAACTTCAGCTTATTTAGTGCAATTACAAACAAAAACTTCAGCAAATAGAAAACAAAACTTTAGCTACTATGCTTAAGTTCAGCAATTACAAACAAAAACTTCAGCACACTTGGTTCAACAATTTTTGCTATTTCAGGCCCGTCTAAAGCTGTATTGTGGTCTAGGCCCAGATCGGGACCGACCCAGGTCCGCGAGCCAACATGGGCTTTGGGCTAAACGGGCTGGCCCATATGGTCCGGGCCCAAGCGGTCCTAGGAGCCCACTATGGGCCGGTCCAGCATGGAGAGACTGCGAGCCCGGGACCGTTTAGCCTGAGACCGGCTGACGGGCCTAGGCCGGTTCAACCGGGCCTAACGGGCCCAACGACTATTTTTAGCACCTTGTTGTGTTCATTCCATTGGGGGGAGGAAGACTAAGAAAGATATTTCCATTTTTTTTAATGTCGTAATAATAAAAATTATAAGGTATTCCCTTGAATATTTCTTTACAATTTTTTTGTGTTTAAATTTGAATTAGAAGATTTAAGTCATAATTATATAATATAATTTACAAGAAATTGCCTTAGATAAAATTTTTTTTTAAAAAAATAGCCCAGAACACTTAGACCCGTTTAGGCCCGTTTACCCGACCCACTTAGCCCGGGCCCATGTGGGCTTAGGACCACAGTGGGCCGGTTCCATCCTCCAGAACCGTTAAGTCCGAGACCACTTGGGCCTGGCCCGCTAGAGCCCGGGCCCGTTTGGCCCGGCCCGTTTAGCTCATTTAGGCTCGGGCCCGGACCACATAACAGCCTTAGGCCAGTCTATTAGAATGCTGAAGTTTTGCGTGATTACCTTTGCTACTTTAGTCGTGTATGCTAAAATTACGCAAAAAAATAAGTATACTTGTAATTTTTTTTTGTAAAGCGGGCTTGACCCAAAAATGGGTATAAGAAGGAATGACAACTAAGTGGTGCCTTAGTCCCAAGTGTCGGTTCAAGAAGGAAACTACTTTTTCTGGGTTTTGCAGAGTGGGGGTTTTAGAGTGGAGTGTGGAGCATCCCCAATTAACTGCTCAAACCTCCTTCCCAATAATCAATTGAACCGAATATCTAATTGGCATATCAAGCACTCATGAAACGGTTTCTGGTACAACACTTCCCAAATTCCTCAAAATTTTCATATATCTTGATAATACAATCGTTTTCCGTCTTTTTGAGTAAAACTTTTTAACTGTTGTGCAGAAAAAATTATCAGATTGCGGCGACAAATCCTTCATTCCTTTATTAGCTTTGGCAGCAGCTGGATCAACAGTAGTTTTTACTGGCAACGACACCAGTTCAAGTGAGAATTTTAATTAAGATTTTTGTTATTCTTCTAACTTTTTCTAGCGATCAAATGTGCCCTAAATTTCTGATAGAGGTCCATTTCAGGATCAATTTCGGTTTCAGTACCGCAACCTTTAAAAGATACTTTGACATTGCATTGGACGTATTTGAAAGACAAAGTTCTTCGTCCTGCTTTTCTTGCCGGGGATCCATCGCAACTTTGTATGTTGTCATAAATTTTTGTTTTCCGAATTGTAATTTCTCGTACTTTGTTTTGTTTTTGTTTTTAAATTCAACTGATACCCCACTTAATTTTAGGTATTGTCCCATTATCTTTTGCTAGAACTGGTTTGGACCCACCTGAGAATGTGAAGAAAGAAGGTAGTGGGGAAGATGGAGATGATGAGAAGAAACATAAATGTTGTAATTGTTTCGGACGAGATACTATTGCCAATGCAGCTGCTGCCGTTGGTCCTGCTGTTGTTAATATTTCTGTTTCAAGGGGTATGCTTTTTAACTATATTTGCTTAATTACTCCTCCCTTCCAATTTTATGTCATTCTTTCTGTATTAGTAAGTCCTAAGATGTTGACATAATCCATTTTTGTACAACTTTCGCAACTTATAAAAATCTATGTTTTTAAAATAATCAAATTTTAGCTTTGATGTAATATTTTCTCGATCAGACTAACTTTTAACCATTTCTTGAATATTTCTTCTACTATCATTTAGTGTATAATACTGTCATGCGAAATGGGATGGACAGAGTTTTCAATATGGGGACTGCCTGTAATATGCTATAACGTATATTTTTGGTCCTTTTGTAGGCTTTCACGGGTTGAGCGCTGGAAGGAGTATAGGATCAGGAACTATAATTGATGCTGACGGCACTATTTTGACTTGTGCTCATGTGGTCGATTTTCAAGGCTTGAGTATTTCATCAAAAGGAAAGGTCAGTGTGTTGTAATGTGTTGATGCAAACATTTCGGGGACAAAGCGTCATTCCTGTCACATTACTGCGATGCCGTTACATTCAATCAATTATGTCCTATTGTGCTTATGTTAGAGATGGTTGCCTTATGTTGGTGGTTAACTTTCTGATTCAAGAGAATGAGCTTCTTTCTCTGGTATGTTCATCAAATGGACTTCGATATAGGTTACGCCTGTTGCTTTTTGCTCCAAAGTGTGCATGGAACTTTGCATTATTGCTTCACACTTCTTCACATTAAAATACTTTTACATTCTTGTTGCTTATTCTAATCGTGCTTCCTAGGACTAAGAATAGATGTGCAAGTAGGGGTGTATTTATGATTATGGGTATGGGTATGGGTTCACGTGAACCCATGCTCATCTCTCTAAATCATGGATAACAATGCTATAATATGTCAAGATTACTTGAACGTACATGTGGGCACCCAAGCTCAAAGAGTTCTATGCAATGATTATTGGGTGCACCTTAAGGTGAAGTCGGAGTTTTAAATCTCACGTCTATCTTGTTTTTTTCTTTTTGTTTCTCTAGAATTAGGTTGAGAATCAAATCTTATGTCTATCTTGTTGCTTCTTTCTTTCTTTTTCTAAAATTGGGTCAATCAAGAGGGGATGGGCATGTCTTGTATCCCTTCTGGCGTTTCAATTAAGTACTTTTTTGTTTTTCTTTCTTTCTTTATTAGTTTATTCTTTCAAAATTCCCAAGTCATACATCCAAATCAGAATCATAGGATAGAAAGGCAGAATGCTCTCAAGCACCTTTCTCGAGGCTGACGTTTTCTAGCCTTCCTTTTCTTCAACCATTCTTTCATGGGAAAATTCCGGCGGTTTAGGCTGGAATTTATTCCCGTCTTCAGTTATTTTCGACAAAGTAATGCTTGTTCAGAACATGAAAGAAGATAAGATTTATTATAATGCATGTTTTAAATCATATGACATCACAAGGAGATGCTCCAGGGCGGAGAAGTGGTTTGATTGGGTTGAACGTAGCAGGAATTTAATAAGACAAGTTACTATCATCATAAATGTTGTTAAATGGATAGTTTATGTATTTAATATGGCATCTAAGGAGCAAAAGAAGACAGTGAAGAGGTGGAACAAGAAGGATCACTTTGCAGTGTTCTTCTGCATTCCCAAATACAATGAGCATGGTAGATACATCAGCTTTATTGCTATTCAAGGAGAAAGCAAATCTATCATTATTACATCGGAGACTACATATAAGGAAGGGTGGGGACATATAGTCTTAAGATATCCACTTTCATTAATGTTCCAGAAAAAGAAAAGGTGCTATCTCTCTTCAGCAACCTTCAAGTGGAGTCTTCTTTCATGGAAGCCTTTAGAAACAACAGATGGACGACAGAAGGGGCAAATGTTTCGCCGATCAGAAGGAGCAGCTCTAGAATATTTATTGTGGCACAACAGTCTCAGACAAAGATCTATTGGGTAGATGCCTTGTCGGCAGATTTCAGGAATCAGTTCAGGAAACTATGACTTTGAACGATGTCCGGAGATGGGGCCTGTAACTCATGGAAATCAGCATGGGGGTTAATGTCTTTGAGATGTAAGATCATCAATTTCTGTTTGAACTTCCATCAAGAAGATACCTAAATACGTCTTGTCTGAATGGAGTTGGAGGAAGTCGAAGTGGAAGCTTGAATGGTGGAGCCCTACCACTGGTTGCTGGCCAAATGAAGTTGAAAGAAACTAGGTTTGGATAAGGTTGCTGGGATTACCTATGGATGTATGATCTCAGAAGGTATTCAAATAATAGGGGTCCGTTGTGGGGGATGGACCGAAACAGAGAACGAGAATACTCTAAAACATCATCTCCACTGGGCACGCATTAAAGTATAGAAGTTCTGAGAGATATCGAGGTGGAAAGGGATGGATTTTTGTATACCATTCCAATCTGGTGTGAAATTCCAGTGACACTGAAGACCAGAATCTTTCTTGGAGATGGAGATAGGGAAAGACCTTTGGATGATACGAGGAGTCTATCCTATATAGGGGGAGAAGTGACTTATTAGGCGTAGCAAGGGCTAGGTCACATGGGCACGTCGAAAGAAGGGAGAATTTTGAAAAGGGAACATGTGGGGTAAGTGGGTCTGGAAAGAAAGTGTTTAATGCTCAAGTACATGGACTATTAAAGAGTAAGGAGAATCTGGACCTTGACAATTTGGGCCCAAACCTGAAATATAACGATTTAGTGGGCACGTGCTCCACTTCAGACGCAGTGGCTGGACCCGTTAATGAAAGTATTGCGCCGATTCAATGGCCCATCCGACAAGGATCTTCTAGTCATCAGCCCAACTTTTGTTCCACAAACTCCAACTCTGGAAGAATCGATATTTATCTTGATAGAACATGAGGCAGAGATAGAGAACTTTCATTTGATATCATGTTTTGGGAGTTCAACTCTTCTTCTCTTTCTACCGACTCTAGTCTAGTTCCAGAAGAAGGTCTGCTCCAGACCCCTCACATAGACATGCAATCGACCATAGAGATGGACAATGTTGAACTCACTAGAGCAGGGGAATCAAGCAAAAATGATAATGGTAACAACTAGTTGGTCGTGTTTGGGAAATTGACTACAAGCATTGATGAAGAAGCCACTCCAATAGAAATTCAAGTTCAAAGGGTAGAATCAGAAGCTTCACTATGGGTGCATTTGAATGTACTCAAATTAAGCAAACAATTTGGGGTTAATTTTGAAAGGTGTGAATGGGAAGCCATTTCTTTATTTATGAAGATCAATAGCAGGAGGCACAAGAAATGGAGGACCCCATAATCTGAAATTTTCCTACAACCAAATCAAAAGGCAAGAGACAATTGGAAGGTCTAAAATTAGGTATTCAATACAAATATGGGCAAACTAAGGTTAGGGGGAGAGGCAACCTTAAAGTAGATTAATGAAAATAAGTATATATTTGTGGAATGAATGGAGATCAAATGATAGAGAAAAAGTGGGAGTTATTAAAACTGCTCTTAATGAATCGATATGTGATGTAGTGGTTCTTCAAGAAACAAAGATAGAAGGAGATATAACCTATATTGCCAGACATTTATGGGGGAGCAGATGGGTGGATTTTGTTAACCTTGAAGCTATGGTACCAATGGTGGAATTTTTAGCATGTGGGATAAAAGGATACTTCAAAGGGAGGTGATTACTACTGTAAATCAGTGCATCACTTGTAAATTAACTGCTATAGCTAATGGTTTTCATGGTTTATCATTGGGGTCTATGCATCAACTTCCAGAATTGAGAGGCAAGACTTATGGTGGGAGCTGGCAGCTTCAAGAGGTCTTTGTAGTGGCCCATGGGTGGTTTGTGGTGATTTCAATACAACGAGAGATTCAAATGAAAAGAGCAATCATCACCACCTCACTAGAGCTTTGAAGAAATTCTTTGATTCAATTAATGATCTACAACTAGTTGATCCTCCACTTTTTGGGGTCTGCTTCACTTGGAACAAGGGAACAACCAGGGGATTGCTTCAAAAATTGATAGGTTTCTTTTTATCACTGAATGAGATGAATTTTTCAGGAATATCAGACAGTCTACTTTGCCAAGAATCACATCTGATACATCTGATCACTTCTTGTGGTGATTGGGAACAAAGAAAATCATACTTTAAATTTGCCAGTTGGTGGTTGGAGGTAGTAGAGATGGTTAAGGAATGGTGGTCATCTTTTATAGTCCAGGGTTATCCAGATTATATTTTAGCAACAAAGACTTTTAAAAGTTAAGCTGAATAAGTGGAATGCTGCGAACTTTGGGGATCTAACAAGGAGGAAAACATAGCTTTTGAACCAATTAGCCATTCTTGATGTTTTGAAAGAAGGAAGTAAAGCAACCAATAGCCTTTTTACCTACTCTGCCTTTCAGCGGGTGAGCAAAACAAAGAAACCTCACTGATGATGAATTGATACACGAAGCCAACACAACATTGGACTTTGAGGAAATCCCCTAATATGAAGAGTCATCATGGAGGCAAAAATTCAGAATTCTATGGTTAAAACAGGGGATAAGAACACAGTTTTTTTAATAAGATAGACAATGCACACAAAAGATACAACACCATAGACAAGCAGAAGATCAATGGGGTTGAAGTCACTAATCCAGTTGGGATCAAAGAAGAAATTATATCTTTTTATAAACAGTTATACTCTGAGTCAGAAGCATGAAGGCCTAATTGTAACCTTCAGAATCCTGCTTCAATAACGTCGAAGGAACAAAACTGGTTGGAGAGACCTTTTGAGGACAAGAAGTTCTCAATAATATAAGGCTTTGTGCTGTTGTAGATAACTACTGACCCGGAAGGCTTCTCAGTGGGGTTTTTCATTACTTGCTGGGATTTTTTGATGGATGACATCCTACAAACCATGGCCAATTTTCACTCTCTGAGAATCTTTGAGAAGAGCCTAAATCCCACTTATATGGCTCTTATAAGTTATACCCAAGAAGAATGGAGCCAAAGAATTGAGAGATTTCAGACCAATTAATCTGATCGGCAACATCTACAAGATTATCTCCAATATTTTAGCGGAAAGACTCACAAAGGCAATAGATTAGATTGTGAACAAGCATCAAATGACTTTTATCAAACGAAGACGGATTATTGATGCTACCCTTATAGCCAATGAGTGTCGAAAAAGAGAAGAAATCAGGGATCTTGTGCAAATTACATATTGAAAAGGCATTTGATCATGTAATTGGAGGTATTTGATCAATATTCTGAGAATTTTGGGATTTGAATGAATGGCTCAAATGGATCTTCTTTTGCATTAGCATAGTGTAGTTCTCTGTCCTTACTAATGGATCTTCTGAAGGCTTCTTCCCTTTAATGAGGGGTTTAAGACAAAGAGATCCTGAGGGGATTGGGTCTCCTTTTTCACATCTTAAGAACAGTCTTTTATCTTTGATTGCTTTTTGGTGCACTCATATAGCCCCTACTTGTATAGAAGATTGGGCGTCATTTGTAGAGAATCATGTTCTGATGTAAATTCTGTACTTTTTGGTATACTTCTTGTATACGGGAGTTTTTCTCCCTTTTGATTAATACAATTTACCTTATAAAAAAAAACCTTTTCTTTTCATACTAGCCATGGAAGGGTTAAGCAATATACTGAGAATTTCCACGGCTACCAGATGCTTGAAGGGTTTTATAGTCCAGAACAGGAACACCAATATGGAGATTTCACACTTGTTGTATGATGATGATGCATTAATTCTTTATGATGCTGAACCCGCTCAGTTAATGCATTTTAGGTTGGTCCTCACAATTTTTTAAAGCATCTCGTTAATTGGAGAAAGAGTTTGCTGGTACCAATTAATGCAATTGCAGGTAGTCCAATTCTAGCAGGGATTTTGGGTTGTGAAGTAGGAACTTTACCAACCAAATATTTGGGATTATCACTGAGTTCTAAGAACAAAGCTGCAGAAATATGGGAAGGGGTACTTGATAAATGTGAGAAAAGACTTACAAGAAGGACAACTCAGTACTAATCCCTAGGGGAAAGGATCATTTTGGTAAGCATTGTCTTGGATTCCCTTCCCACATGTATTATGTCCTTATTGCCTTTTCCAGTCAAAGTAAGGAAGAGAATTGACCAGCTGAGAATGAACTTCATTTGGGAAGGCAACAGAGAACCCAAAGGCCTTCATCTTGTTAACTGGAAGGCTCTTATTTCAAGCAAGAGAGTTGGAGGTTTAGGCATTAGAAATATAATAGCCTTTGGCCAAGCTTCTAAAATCAGCCTATTTTGAGAAGTGCTTTTTCGCAGAAGTACTTTTGGGGAGAAACAGTTTGTGTTTCGGCTAATTAATTTGAAAAATACTTTTGAGCAGTAATTAGTGTTTGGTCAAGCTTTTAAAAAGTGCTTCTGGGGAGAAGCTATTTTTTTCTGCTTCTCCAAAACTGCTTCTGCTTCTACCCAAAAGCATTTTTTTTTCCTTCAAAAACTTTGCCAAACACCTGAACTTTGAAAAAAAATACTTTTTTTAGGAGAAGCTTGGCCAAATAGACTGTAAGTCTGGTTAACAAAAGTCTCTTAATGAAATGACTTTGGAGATACAACACTGGAAAACAAGCATTATGGAACAGGTTATCAAGTGCAGGTATGAGCAGTGAGGACACTAGAGTACCAATCCAGTGAGAACTTATGGAGTTAGCAACAGGAAATACATTAGGAACCTATGGGAGGAGTTTTCAGCAAACATAGGTTTTAAGATGGAGATGGAAGGATCGTCTCTTTCTGGAATGATGATTGGCTTGGGCATGGAGCGTTGAAAGACCTCTTTCCTAATCTATTTATCCTTTCAGCTTCACCTAATACCACAATAAAAGAATCTTGGAGCCCCCATGGAACTTAACTTTCAGAAGGTTTCTCTTCCCAGAGTTACTGAAATTCTCAAAATGCTAGAAGGTTGCAGGATTGGATGGGGAAGAGGACTCTCTTACATGCAAAGGAGGCAGTAACTCAAAATCCATAGTTAGAGCAGCATACACCTATCTTTCATCTATTGGCAGCCCAACACCCCTAGCCTTGGAAAAGGATATGAAGATCAGAGTACCATTCAAAGTTATATGTTTTTCATGGTTAGTGGTAAGAAAAGCCTACCTCACACTGGAAATTCTACGGAGAAGAGGTATTCAGACCAATTCTACATTCTTTCTATGCTTGCTGGATGCTGAAACCAATGAACATCTGTTCCTACACTGCGTTACTAAACAACTTTGGCAGCTCTTCTTAACACTAGCTGGAACTGTTTGGGGTGATGCCTAAAGACATTATTGGCCTGATATGTAGCTGGAACAGTATAAAAGGAAGAACTTGTCACAAGGTATGATGGAAGATTGTTCCAGCTTGCATATGGTGGACAGTTTGAAGGAGAGGAACGCAAGATGTTTTGAAGGTGAGAGCAGCTCATCCCAGAAAATCAAGGGTTCGTGCATTTCTCTTTTTCATGTTTGGTGTAAAGAACAATTGGTAGATGATGCAGAATCATTGCTAGACTTTTTTGACTCCTTGTAAGAATTGCAGGGGTTTTCTTCTTGTAATTATTAGATACTAGCCCTATTTTGGTTGTTGATGATAAAATTATTACCCTTTCTCAACAAATAAATTAAATTCCCAAGTCTAATAAATTGAAATTCCCAAGTCTATAATTTAATTGAATGTCTTTATCAAAAATTGCGATAGTGGAGGATGTAGCATATAGGCAATGGGTTCACCCGATCCTAACAATTTCGGTACAAATTATAGATGTATGCATATGTGGAAAATCACTAAAACTACCCAAAAAAATACTTTTAAACCTATAATTTTCAAAGTATAATGAATTCATGGTAAGAATGCAAAAGTTGAATGCATCAAATGTTAATCCTGAATCTACCTCCTCGTAATAGTGTACCCATGTTCTTGAAATCCTGAATATGCCGTTGTATGCAAGTGGATCTCGGGTTGTGTTTCTTTCCTCTGTTTTTATTTTTTGGTTGTAATTAGCGTGTTTGATCTTCTGTCTTGGACCTTGAAATCCGAAGGATGATCCTCTTCTTTTTCTTTTTGAGTGGTATGCATGGGTCATTATGTTAAAGTAGCTTGTCCATATCTATCTGTCATCTGTATTCTTTTGCTGTTGTCCTTATTTCAATTGTGTGTAAGTCAATTTTGAAAACCTTTTTTGTAGGTTGATGTGACTTTGCAAGATGGCCGTGTATTTGAGGGTACTGTGGTCAATGCCGATCTACATTCTGATATTGCAATTGTAAAGATAAAATCCAAAACTCCACTTCCAACTGCCAAACTTGGCACTTCAAACATGCTTCGCCCTGGGGATTGGGTGGTGGCTATGGGTTGCCCCCTCTCCCTTCAAAATACAATTACAGCAGGCATTGTGAGGTAATATGAGCAGAAAGCAACATGGAAATTTCTTTTGTTTCTTTAGTAGTGGTGCAAAACTATTTGTTTCATGAAGTTTCATTCGAAGATAAGTTTGTATGGGCATGCAGAATAACATGAACCAAAGAAATGTCCACTGCTGTCAGTCCTAATTATCTCTACTTTGAGTAGATGTTGCATAAATGATTAATCTTTATTGATCCCAATTTTTTCTTTCCCTGTTCCATGTAGCTGTGTCGATCGTAAAAGTAGTGATCTTGGACTTGGGGGCATGCGGCGAGAGTATTTACAGACTGATTGTGCTATTAATGCCGTAAGTTACTCATAGTTTATGTATATATTTGCATATTTCTAATGTTCCTTGCTCTTTGGATTTCTTTATTTTGGAGGTGGGGTGGGGGGTTTCGGTAGTTGGTGGCAAATCATATTTAATTTTTCCATGAGAAGCACATCAAACGATGAGCTTTCAAGACTTTACTAGTTGAGAGAGCAAATGAATAATGCTGGTAATGAAGTGTAATTTTCACCGTCAGTATGTGTAGGATTAGAGTCCTATTCTCTCTCTAATCTAAGCTTATCAACATCTGCAGTCTCAATGCATTAGAGTACATAATGTTCTTTAAGGATATTGGCTGTCAATGGAATTTGTGCAACTTGAATATTTTTCCTTTCCTTTTCACAGCAAGAAGCTTCGGTAAAGGATTGTGGCCTTAGTCATCCCACCTCAACAACCAACCTCCTCGTCAGGTTTAGCATTTGAGATTACTCATCATCCATATAGTCTTCTTCCCTACAAATAATAGATTTTAGTTTTTGTAGTTCTATACGAAGTGCAGGTTTTTGAGGGATATACAATTGCATAATGCTAATCAGATACATAACATAGCTTACTTTGCTTTGATCTATTTCTCGTTGAACCTTAGCACCCTATGGTGTTGATTGTCCCCTGTTAAGTGGATTTAGAGCTTCTTAGAAAGTGTACTTCTGGGAACTTAATGTCCTATTTGCAGAAGACAATCCCCAGTTGAAAGTTAGATACAACCAAATCTCTCTTTTTGGATGTTATAGCGAAGTGCTGTTATAGAGAACATATATTATAACATAACTTAAAAATTGGTTCCGAAAAAAGCTTGGCTTTTATAGTGAAGTATTGTTATATAGAGATGCTGTTATAGAGAAGTATGACTAACCAAGAAAACTTTAGCAGTAGTGCTTCCTTAGGATCAATCATGTCATCCAAAAGCGACACATTCTGAAACTATATCTGATTAAATCTGAACTGAAGTCTGGTACGGTTATGTCTTAAGATTCCAAGAAGTTTCGTTTCTTTCACATGATTGTGTATGATTAATATAGGCAATTGTGCAACTTTGCCAAATGTGTATTGCCAAGGAAAACATTTGGGTATCCAGAACTTTTCATAATCAGGTGGAATGATATTTTCTGAAATTAGCAGTGCCATTCCATTTTATATGAAGTTAGATAGTTATGTAAATAACATGAACAGAGGCGGATTTAGGGGTTCGTCAAAAAATTACATTGTGTATATAAGGTAAAATCTGTTTTCTACCTCTATATATTATGTGTTGAATCCCCTTGATATAGCCCAAAAGCATAGCTTAATGGTCAAGGGGATTCAAAACCTTTGTAAGGTCATTGGTTCTATTCCCACTGGCTACAACCTTTTTTTAATTTTTTTCTTTTTTGAATCCCCTTAGCGGAAATCCTGTCTCCGCCATTGAACGTGAATTAGTCCTAGTCCCACATAGAATAGGAGTAGGATATGTATTATATAAATAGGGCTCCTTGTATTATAATTGAATAGAATATTAATAATATATTTTTCTTCAGTGTTTTCTCACATGGTATCTGAGCAATTAGTGAGAAATCTCTGATGTGCAGTAACCAGCGAGTCCGGGATAGTCACCGTGCCTTTTTTTCGATGAACTACGAAAAGTAACACCACCAATAGGTGCGGAATTCTCAGGCGACCAAACCCTAGAAAACCACATCGGCATAACCCTATCCACGCGCCCTCAAGCGCCTGAAAACCCTCTGACGTCGGCGACGCGTCAGACCCATGCGCCGGCACGTGACACGTTTTCCGGCCATTTTTGAAAAAGTTTCTTAAGGACAGCTGTCTCGTCTAGTAATTCCGAGCCTACCCATCCAATTTAAACCAAATTCCGACAATTTTTATTTTTTCTGGCATAAATAGTGCACCTTTTCCGGCGTGATCGACGCTTTTTTTTTTCCTGTTGTGAACAGTGTTTTCTCGGATATTTCTTCAGTTTTTCACTATTTCAAGTGAAGAACTTGGTTGCCAGAGGTCGTCTTTTCCTTTCCAACTCCGTCTAACTAAGAAGAAAAAAAAGGGAAGTCTCCAGCTTAACTTGTTCTGATTTGGCATTCTATGGTTAACCATACAAGTTTTAGTCAAAAATTTGAGAAAATTTGTTGTAGCCAAATGGGATCCAATACTATGAATAGTTGGATGGTTTCTCTACCGGATTATATTGAGTTCCTTCAGTACAAAGCATATAAACTGACATCTTCAGATACCTTCCGTTCAAATAGGTAATAGCGTGACTTGTGTCTCCTAATCTTCATCCTCCGATTCTTGGGATAATATAGGTGCTCCAGTTATATTATTTAGCCGTGAATTTAAGAATGCGGATAACACGGATTTATATTAAGTAGTATACTAAATAATTCAAATTTTATTTTTTTATTAATCAATTTTTTTAGATATACACCAAGATGATGTTCAATAAAAGAAAGTTATACTACAAGATCGCATTGATCATCCAAAACTCCTGCCAACTCTCTACACAAAATGGATGTCATGTTTACGCCTAAAGTAAATGAAACAAGGGTTCTTTTAACTTTTAGTACAGAATTCTCAAGTCCTTCAAAAGTTCTTCTATTCCTCTCTTTTATATTAGCTAAACAATACATAATGGAATGCTATTCCATATCTTTCTTCTCGTAGCATCTAATTTGTTTATCGTGCAGCTTATGCATGTCTCTTCTAAATACTGCAAACTTACTATCTGTATAATTAAATATCAGTGGCTTAAATTTTTCAGTGACATACAGTTTAGACATAAATATTTAGTCTTTAAGCCTAGATATTTATTTATGCAATAGTAAGGGAAAGAGACAATAAACAAATGCTCCCTGTATCCAAAATACAACGTATTATTATCCCTTTTGGATAATCTATATATATTTCTATTTCCAGACAGAGAACTTTTGTTCTTGCGCTTTTGCATATTTCTTAAAACTCAAACTGACTCACAGGTATTAAACCATTTATGTAAAGAAAAGGGCAGCCCGATGCACTAAGCTCTCGCTATGCACGAGGTCGGGGGAAGGGCGGGACCACAAGGGTCTATGTAAACCATTTATGTACTAAGAAAAATTCCATTCATCAAGAAATTATTTTATACCCACTTATGTTGTCCCTCACATTTGAATATGATATACTCCCGATCTTGCTTTAACAGCCATGGGCTATAACTAAGAAACCTGATTTGGGTTTTGGGACTAGAAGTAATTTTCTGGAATCTGCCGATAAACATGTGGTCCCAAAAATTGCTGCTGTGAAGGTTCCCTTGAATCAATAACTGTTGGTAAACTGCAAATTATGCCAATTGTCTACATTCTTTTTTCTGGGTGACCAACTAATTGGGATTAAACTTTAGTTGTTATTGTAGCACTCAGATCGTTTATTTTGGTCCAGTGTTTGTCAGATGCCTATTTGGTCTAGTTAGAGACTTGTATTAGATAAGTGGGAGATTTTAATAATCTTAATTGAAAAACACTCCCAATAATATATATATTGGAATGAGGGATTCGTAGGGAGTCAAATGTTTATTCGAGCCAACTACTTCGGGACTGAGACGTACTTGTTAATTGCTTGATACCTTTTGAGGCTCAGAGGCGATGGGTCGTCCTCTCCCCTTACAGTTGAATATGGGAAGGAGAAAATCACTGGTTGATATTAATGGATCTAATTTACTTCATCGGGGAAAAAAAAAACCACTGGTTGACTGAGAGCTTTGAGACATTGGATTTTACACCTGCTTAAGGGGCAGGCAAAGGAGATATTATCATTTTCTTATTTTTATAAATAAAGAGAGGCGTAGGAGCAATATATCAGGAGGGAGCAGGAAAAGTTGATTGTTGAGGAGTGTGTGTGGAATGGCATCGTAATGTCAGAATTTCTTATTGCCTTCTTATTGGGCTAATTTTCCTGCATAATGCAATCCTGTATGTAAGTCGAACAGCCGTTTGACAGATCGAAACGGTGGAAAAATGTTCTAATTGTGTTGACATCTGCATGGATCTACGAAATCCTGAGAAGCATGTCTTGCTTTATTATCTCTGCCAGATTGACTGGATTATGATAGATAAAAAATTTTCCTCTTTTCAGCTTCAGTTTTCAAAATATGAAACTACCAATTATGTTTTGACATAGATAAAAAAATTTCCTCTTTTCAGCTTCAGTTTTCAAAATATGAAACTACCTATTTTGTTTTGACATATAACATAACTTCGTCTTTCCCCAATGTAGGGCAATTCTGGAGGACCTCTTGTAAATGTCGACGGAGAAGTAATCGGAGTTAATATCATGAAAGTATTGGCAGCTGATGGTTTGGGCTTTGCTGTACCAATTGATTCTGTTACCAAGATTATAGATCACTTCAAGAAAAGGGGGTATGATATCAAAACACTATAGTTGTCGTCAGGTGCTAAATTATCAGCATTTTGTGTAGGCTTGATTTTAACATCTCCTTCCCCTTCTCCCCCTCTCCCTGATTCACTCGCATTAACAGGAAAAATCAAAAGATATGAATACTGAATAAATTGAAAGATCCAAATGCAGACATAGAGCCACAGAGGCTCTGTCACTGTGTTGAATGGATATTTGGAGATTTTGTGAACATTTCTACCATAATTTTAGTGACATCTATTTGTTCTTTATCTCTGTTGGCTTTCAAGGACGCATTTCTTCTCTTGTCTCACAAACTTGTACTAATTGATAAGAACCAATAAGTTTCCATGTAATCATTCTTCTTGCATGGGCATCTACGAGTTACTCCTTCCTTTTCTGAGGTATTTGAGACTCTTTTTTGATTGATTTTGAGACTTTTCATTAAAAAAAATTTAATAATGGAATTTGATCTTACACAGGAGAGTTATTCGACCTTGGTTGGGTTTGAAAATGCTCGATCTTAATGATATGGTTGTTGCACAGCTTCAGGAAAGAGATCCATCTTTTCCAAAAGTCAACAAGGGAGTTCTTGTATCAATGGTATGGCATCTTGAGTTTTTCCTCTTCCCTTATTTATAGATTGTTCTTTTATCTGGTGAAGGAACGGTGGTAGGCTCTCTTTTACATACCTTAGGGGCAGATATTATGTGCATTACAGCTTGCGCAGAAACAACTCTGGTACATTTTTTTTTTATGGGGAAGAAAAAAATATTTCGCGTCATGGACCCAAAACTAATTTAACGAGAACATCTTTACCGTCTGAACTTGTTTCGTTGGCTGTAAAAAGCTTTCTTTGTTTATCATTTGATTTGTGGCATTTGCCAGGGAAAATTCAGATTTACACGTGTGGCAGCTCAAACATGAGCGTTCAGCTTTTCTTTAGTTTGGCTTATTCTATTTTTTGATCAAACCTAGAATCAGCTTCCTGCCTGGAACTTCCCTATTATGTTTATGAATGCTGCTACACAGATGGATGTTAGGCTGGTGTTTAACCATCACCAGCTTTGTCACCACAATTTTTTATTGTTGATGATCAGTGATATCGGGCATTTGCACTATTACAATGACAATAAATTTCATTGTCTTGTTTTTCTTCATATACTAGTACATCTCTGAATAGATCTCCGTGTTATAAATTTGAAGGAGCACTGGCGTGAGGTACATGTCTTTGCCATTTGTTTGTGTATGGGGTTTGAACTGTGACATTAAACTTCAAGTTAATTTATTTCATGGATTCTTAGGCACTAATGCTGCATCGTGAATCTTTAGTCTTTAGATATTCACCCTTTTGATGCTTTGGTGTTATCATGAGACCTGCCAATCATTTTCGCTGTCATTTTACTGTATAGGGTGGATGTTAATGTAGTAAAGTAGTGAACATACATGTTGATCTTTTTCTGGGTTATGTACATAACTTATTGGCTCTCTTTGGACCTTTACATGTTTGTCTGTTGAATATGTTTTTGAGACAGTGAATCATTTATTTTCGCAGGTGACTCCAGGGTCCCCTGCTGATCGTGCTGGATTTCACCCTAGTGACGTGGTTGTTGAATTTGATGGAAAGCCTGTTGGGAGTATAAAGGAGGTAAAATCACCTTAAGAGCCATAATGTTAATGACGTCCGGTTGGAGGGACCAAAAGGGCAAAATGAAAAGAATAAAAAATTGATAATTTTCCACCTGCAGATTAGGCGATCTACAAGTTTCTTATTTCTTTGTAATACTTCTCGGGGAGGTGTATTTTTATGGTTTGCAAAATACCAGATGACATTTTATTATCTCCTCTAAGTACGTACACAACCTGATTTCCCTCAGCTGATACTTGCTATATTTGTATTAATCACCAGAACCTGGTCAGAGTTTATAGCCATTACCTTCTCATTTCACACACTACCACTTTGAGCCCTTTTGCTTAGGATTTTCTTCTGAAGACCAGTTGCTTCATGTAAAGATAACTCTACCCTTACTTCCAGCTGGCACATTGTCGAAAGCCCTTCCTTCCTTATCGTTATTTGTGTAATTATTAATTGTCCTACCTTTTTCTCATTGTTTTACTTGTCAAATGCTGCCTTTTCCACCTATGGCTACCACCCTAGCATGCATAAACCTCCTTTGAAAAAGTCTCATACGCACACACCAAAGAAAGAAAAAGCACCTAGAACTCGAGACAAGGCAATGATTGGGTGCTTTTGTCACTGCTTTTCTTTTTATTTTTGTGTTTCTTTTGGAGGGGAAGCGGTAGGTGGGTTGATTGTGGAATTGGGGTTCTGGATCTGGGGGGTAGAAGGCTCCAATAAAAACAGGAAGAGTTAGGTGTCAATATGCTTGCTTCAGAGCAACTGCGCTGGAAAAGCAGCATAGAAGAAGATGGTGAGATTCTTGTAGTTCCATCTAGCGTCTAGTAAATTCTTCATTCCCACAAATATTCTGAAAATCTCATTCCAGCAAAATGGAAACTTCAAAATGGTTTAACAGCCTTCAGTTTCTTCCTCCTTGCTATTGGGGCGAAGGAGCAGTAGATGTGCTTTACTGATAAAAAGGGAAAAGGGCTACCTGGTGCACAAAACATTCCGGATTCACACAAGGTCCGGGGGAGGGCTGCGCCCCAGAGAGTGTAATGTAGGCACCCTATCCTGAGACAAGCATCAATGGTTGATTCCACGGCTCAAACCGGTGATCTATAGGTCACATGGAGACAACTTTACCATTGCTCCAAGGCGCCCCTTCTACGTGCTTTACTGATAATCAGGGTAATTTTGACTGTTACAGTGCAGGTGTCATGGTTACTCTGCAAATATTTGTAGTTGAAAATGAAATGACAAATATTCATTCTACTGATGAAAAGTTAAGACATTCATGTGAAGTGCAAAATTTGAAACCTGAGTGTGATGGTATATAATGACAATTACCTGCAATATATTATTATTTTAATTGGTTGATTGGCTCTTATATAATAATAATTACCGGCATTGCTCTGTACTAAGCACTAGTGACTTTTAATTCTCTGATTTTGCTACAGATCATTGATATAATGGGCGAAAACCTTGGAAAACAATTGAAAGCTGTGGTGAAAAGAGCGAATAATGCTACTGCCACCTTGACTGTGATTCCAGAAGAAGCCAATCCTGACATGTGAAATGACCATTTTGCTTTTGTTCCTACAATGTGGCCTGTGAGTTCAACCACTTTCCGTCACTGGCCTGCTACCTCGTTGAAGTTGATTCAGAACCAATTCCATGTGTGTCAATTTCTCTGGGTACATATTTCCTTACTGTGCATAACTGTACTATGCCAATGGTCTTCTTTTGGCTAATGTTCCGTTATGCCACATTCATCGGGTATTGGTGGAAGAATTTAGGTTGAAGGAATATTTTCCCATGTAATTGGTGACACAAATTAGGAAGATTAGATTCTGAACACATTGATCGTGTTATGGAGAACGCGACAAATGCTTCCAAAGGACTTCTCCTCTAGGGTTTGCCTTTTCTACCATCATTTAGAAATACGAGGGAAGATACTGTGCTATGGCAACCTAATAAGAGGTTAGTAGACAAAATGAACATGACATCCAATTCTATTCCCCTTTGTCCAATGTATATCATCTATACTGTATTAGAACAGGAACCCTAAGAGATAAGTTAAATTACAAATATACCCCTTATATATCTGAATACACTATTAAATGAAAAAAAACTAACGCCACTTATGCGACTTATCGGTAAAATATTTAAATGACCAGGCAGCACTTGACTTTTTGCTCCAGTAAGCAACCCCTTAGTTTGCTTCATTTTCCACATACCATCGGCATCTGTCTTTGTTTTTGTCTGTCTACTTTTACTGGTTTATCTTTACCAATCATTCGTCGATTCTCAACTATTATCTTTTACCTGTTGATCATGCTAATTGTGTTTTAGTTTGAGCGCTTCTCCATTATAGCTTTGGTTGTTCAGCTTTTCTGGCGAGTTTTCTCCGGACTTTGTCCTTGGTTATTAATGTTTGTACAGTTGATTGATGTTAAATATTGTAAACCTTTGATGCTTTTTCCTTCAAAATTATTGATCTTAAAACCTTTATTAAGTTATCTATAATTTGTGCTACTATTTTTTATGTTGGAACTTGGATAGTAGATGCACATTTTTTCCTGTTTTTTCTCCAGTTTTCTTGGTGGAAACGTGTACATGCATATGGTTAATCATTTTCGGATATATTTGTTGTCACTTAATCTGTATTCCTTGTGGGTTTCCTTGCATTTCGATTGTCTAGATCTATTTGTCAATTAGGGAATAATACTGATGCCCATGATGTGTTTGATAAAATTTCCCATAGGAAAACCTTCCTTACTGCTTTAGGAGATGAGATGACACCATTAACAGTACAGTGCTAGTGCTACTACTGCACTAATACTATAGAACCAACTCTGCTTGGTGAATGTTTCCGTCCGTTCACCAACAGTGTAGCCTTTTCGTCGATTCGACTTTAGCATTATTCTCAGATACGTACTACTCCCTCTGTTCCAGTTAAAAAAAGAATGATCCTTTTTAAAATTTGGTAATAATTTAGCTTAAATTTACAATTCTAGCCTTATGAGATGCTTTTATAACCACACAAATGTTTTGGGTCCCTTTATCACTTGTTTAGGACCAAATTTCAAAAGTCTTCATATTTTCTTTAACCTCCGCGCTGGGAGAGTATGTTTTTATAAAACCTTCGTCTGCCACTATTTAAGAGCTGAACTCTTGGAGAATAGTCATATATTTGTTATCATCACATAAATGAGCCAATCCCATCTTACTATGCGCAATTTCTAGCTGACTTGTCCTTTCCTTCCTTCCCCACCCATACAGCCCTATTTAGAAAAAAGTGCATCCACTTCGCTGACTTTGTTGGAATAACACTGTACATACATGAGTATAATTAGCTAAAATAATAGGGGGATTTGTATGTATATCCGCTTTTTGGGTTACGTTTTAACTTGTGCCCGATTTGCATCTTTTCCAAAAGTCATCCGGGTATCTTAATACCCAATTCAATTTAAATTAAGGGAAAAAAAACATAAATATACAAAATTTAAGAAAATATTTCGCAAACATAGCAGCAATAGGTATTTATGAGAATAGTTTTTAAAAAGGGAGCAACCATGTAAAAATTTCTATATTGATTGGATTCGGAAAAACCATCTTCCAACTAATTTGTAGCTATGGGCTTTTGACTTGATGTCCTTTGGTTCATCAGTATCGCAAGAAAAAAAATGGATTATTATATCTATCAAATAACTGGATAATCAAATTTTGGACTCTATTTATGGATATGCAGTTGGATCCACAGAAGAAAGCACTTACAACTTACATTCGGTATTTATATTGAAGAATAATCTCTTACTCTGTGCTGGTTGCTTTTATAAATTGTCACTGCTCATAAAGAACTAATCAGAAAACGAAAGATCATTATCCAAAATATGTACATAAAATGCTGCACTTCATTCATCCAAAATTAAGGAAAAAAACAAACAAGTAGTTCTGTGTTTTCCTATTTCAGTATCATTTGGAGAACCAAATTACTTTTGCCAATATAACAAAAAATTAAACTTTAAAATATTGGGGTTGTAGGCTTGTAGCACAACGTAAAAGAATTTTATTTAATAAAATGAATTAGTTCCAAAAATCAACATAAATGTCCAATGTATTATTCGAAGTGTCAAAATGGGATAATATATTACTGACTTTTTTTTTATAGCTAAATTATGGTACAATACATACAGTCTAACAAAATCTAATCTATGATAGCTTTTCAGATGTTTTACCTTTCTGTTTGCCTTGCCGGCATTTTAACGGGTCGAAACAACCAAACGAAAGACGAAGCATTAAAATAGAGAATTACCTGCAAGGGATGAAGAAACTTTCAGAATAGAAATAAAAGAGAGAAATTGCTGAACAGTATTGAAATTAAAAAGAGATTAAGTAATTAAATTGAACTACGAGCTTCTTCAAGAGTACTACAACACAATTTCGTCAGCGACTCTCCTCCCTTAAGCAAGTTTGAACATAATTAAAACACGTGTCCCCATGATGTTATCATCAATAGCTACTCCTACAAATATTTTTAGTTTCTTTTATAAAAAAAAATAACGCAGTAGTATTTTCTTTATTTCAGATACTGGATTTAAGTTATAATGATGAAAACTTCAGAATTATGTTAATATTTTTATTTTAAATTATAGTAATAATTTGATTATAAATTTTGTTGATATTTACTTGATGGAATGAAACCCGTCTATTCTACATATTTCTTTCTTAGCGTTCTTAGTAAATGTCTCCATTTGTTTAAAAATTACTTATTTATTCTGATTAGTCTGAACTTACTCTTTCTTTGAATTTACAAAGTTGAAAATCGTACTTCTCTTACAGCTTGTTTAGTTGGTTGTTACTAGGGGTGTACAGAGGAAACTGACAAACTGCATCAATCCGATAATCCGAGTCAAATCGTGAAAAAAAATCCGATTATAATTTGGTTTGGTGTTGGAAAAAAAAACCCTGACCATAATTGGTTTGATTTTGTTTTAACTAAAGAAAGTCAAACCGAAACCAAACCAACCCGACATTACATATATAGAAATTTTAGATATATTTAATATATAAATATACTTATTGTGATGTAATTTATAAATATTTCTTTAAAAAATTCATAATTTTATCTTTTAAAGTATTATTTCAACGTTGGACTTAGAATTTTTGCGTGTTCCAATAAGTTTTATAGCCATTAACATTAGTAAATTAAATAATGCTAACAAAAGCCCGAACCAAAATCAAGTCAATATTAATGCTAATAAAAGACATTCAATTTCAATACTACGAACGAGAATGTATTGAATATCTATTTTTTGTTTTGCGATAATTTAGATAAAAATGCATAAACTATTTTTATTTTTTCTTTAGCGTTTAGTCATGTAATTAATACTCCCTTATTAGTCTATTTATTTTAGCATGACTTAATACTTTTAGATTATGTTTATTTTTATTATGGCTTTTTAATTAGCAATATTTATATTACATAATTTTATTGTCTTTATGGTTGAATATTTTAGGATAATGCCCCATGACACATCTCATATTTTGTATTATTTTCTTGGAAAATACTTTATATAGTTGTATCTTATTAGGATTAAAGAAATATTTTTGAACACAATTTATATGTTTTGTTCTACGAGATTTTATCGGAAAAAAAACCTCGAAAAAATTCGAATAAACCGAGAAAAATCAAGAGTGAAAAACCCGAGTTTTATTGGTTTGGTTTGGTCTTTGATTTAATAACCCAACACAATTGGTTTGGTTTGGTACTTGTAAAATCCGAACCAACCCGATCTATGTACACCCCTAGTTGTTTCCCATTGTACTGTATTTTATTGTAATTCCAAAACAATGTTGTTTTGATTAAAGGGCAATTCGGTGCACTAGGCTCCCGCTATGCGCGAGGTCCAGGGAAGGGCCGGATCATAAGGGTCTATTGTAAGCATCCTCACCCTGCATTTGTACAAGAGGTTGTTTCCACGGCGCAAACCCGTGACTTCCTGGTCACATGGCACCAACTTTACCAGTTACGCCAAGGCTCTCCTTCAATGTTTGTTATGGTTATTTATTTAAAATTGATCGTATTATATTGTTAAATTTATTGCTCCGGAAAAACGAAAAATCCCATTTTATGAAACAATCAATTTGATGTGGTGGGATTGTTTCCTATATTTTCTTCAATTATGCCCTTTCTTATTATTCCATAATTTTATTTTATCCTTAATTTTATTTTTAACTCAAAATCTCCAACCTATTGACCTACTTTGTTTTCGTCCATCTTGTCCAGAATTGGTTTGTGCCATGCTTTTCATACAAATCTACGTTCGTTTTTTGTCTCTTTCCATAGTTCTATGATTATTATTTTATTTTTTGGGCTTTTCTCACTTTTAATTCGTGCCAGAAACTATTTATATTTGATAGCCAAAAAAATGCATAAATTTGTATAATTTTTGTTTATAACATATATATACAAAATTATTAATTTTTCTGCTATTACTTTGAAAACCGCTATACAGTGTTATTTTTTTCCCCTAATGGTTGTTAACCTTTTTCTGTAGATTTTGTTATTATTTTCAAGCTACATAATTGGTGATAAATTATTAGAGAGATCTTGTTGAATTATTTTTATGCGTAATTCTTGATAACTTTAATATTTTAAAAAATAATTGGAGGTATTTCAGTAAACTTATCCGTTACAGTACATTACAATACAGTCAAACCAAACAACAAAAATATTATTTAACAACAGCAAACAATACAATCTATCCAAACATAATATTCATAAAGCATTACAATACGGTACAATCCAGTACAATACAATATATATTATAAAACGATGGATAACAATAATCTAAATAGAGTGTTACTTAGTAAATTGTAACATTTAATTATTAACGCTTGAGCGCTCATAAAATTATAACATTAAAATAAGAAAATATCCAAAGAGAAAGTTTACGTGTATCCTTTTCTGCCTTGACTCGGCTTGTATAATGTTGAAATACCACAATATCAATTACATTAAAGAGGTTAAGCATTACAGCCAAACGGTATTCCAACCACCAGTAAAAAAAACTTCCTATACTTTCGCATCCAAAACTTCTATCTTCTGGAAGTGGAGGTTCTGTCGAAACTCTCAATAGAAAATTATCCGGCACTAACTGTTCTTGGTAATTATACAACAAAAATCCCACCAGCCATCACACACTATATCCCGCTCCACCTAAAAGTATTCTGATACTGTATCTTATTCTATCTGTGGAAGAACTTATAATAACAAATATTTGATTAAAAGAATAACCAATAAATATCGGTGTGTGCTACGCGTCGAAGTTTTCTCATGCATCATCTCGTTGACTAGGAGGAGGAGGAGCAAGCCATCCCCACACTCCACCAGAGCTCTGCCTTTGCTTTGCGCTCAAGGCTTGCTCAGAAGCAGCCTTTTGTAGTCTCAGGAGCTCAAGTTCTTTTTGTAATGTTTCCATTCCTTGTAGCTTTTGTCTTAGCTCCGCAACATCAACCTGTCAAACGAGGTTATAATTAATGTACTACCTCCACTTCAGCAAATTAAGATAAATCAGGCCTTTCTCTTGAAAACTTTGCTCTTCTCAGTGCGTTGTAGCTATAGTTTGATAATAGTGAGTAGTGTCTGAGTTCAACTTTTAAAAGCTATTTGTATGTGTATGTTTGCAAGTGCATATGCGGGCAGAGATAAGTAAGAAGGGTATATTGGAACCCGCAACTTCTGTCGTGTCTTAGCTCCTGATCTGTCCAATGTATTGTAGACATGTCTCTCATCGTCACTCATTTTTGCCATCATGTCATGCAAATAATGAACCACAAACAGAAACTAAATGTGCAAATATGCTGACGGACATAATGACAACATAAACAAAAATACCTGGTCATTCTGATAAAATCTGCTGTTATTTGATGGGCTGGAACCAGTCCAAAAAAATAACTAACACATACACGATTAATCCTTTTTTTTTTTTTTGGTTGAGAAAACACATATACATGTTTAATCAAAAAAAGAAGCTGGGTTTAAATAGAAATGAGAGACAGGGGTGAAGTCTAGAACTGAAACTATAACCAACAAGATGTTACCAATAAAAGCATGTGAATCATTAAAGTCAAAATGTTAACCACAATTTTGGCAGGTACCATCCTAAATCCTAATTGGTTGCAGGTTCAAAGCATTTCCCCTTTCCACCAAAGCCTCCAACCAGAAATTGGTTTTCAAAGGAAAGAAAAGGAAAAAAAGAAGCAAAAGATAGTCTCTTACCTCAAGTTTGAAACAACTCGACTGTTCAGCAGCAAGTTGACCTCGTACAGATTGGAGTTCCTACATATGCAATAGAGAAATACAAAGTTAGATGTGACGCACAGCTGTCAGAGACCTGGATCTTGCCTGGTGGCAGTCTTATCTTTTGGAAATTACTTAGGGGTCGTTTGGTAGGGTGTATAAGAATAGTGCGGAATAAGGTGTATTAGTAATGCATGTATTAGTAATGCAAACATTAGTTATGCAAATATTATTTCTTATCTATTGTTTGGTGTGGTGTATTAAAATTATAATGCATTGCATAATTTTTTTTAAAAAAACAGTTGCTTACAAAAATGCCCTCCATATTCTCTAGCTTTAAGGGACTTTAAGGACAATTTTGTCTTTAACCATGCTAATGCATGCATTAAAGCCTTGGTATTACTAATGCCATGGTTTTCTATGCATTACTTATGCATAGGATAATGCCAAGTATGGTGTATAACTAATACAAGTATTAGTTATACACAAGTTGAAAAAAGGTACCAAACAATGTATTAGTAATGCATAGAGCTAATGCTTGCATTATTTTTTCTAATACCTCCTACCAAACGACCCCTTAAAGATCTCAAATACATATGTGCAAAACTCCAAAAGATATTTCTTTTTCTCTTACTACATATTTTCACGTTATCTAAACTTGCACTTAGGTGAGCATGAGCACCAAGACCAAAATGCTGGAAAATTAGCTCAGATCTTGTTTCAGAATAAAATTGAAAATTAGTTTATGTAGACAAATGAATGCAGTAAAGAATAGGAAAGACCCATATGGAATATGATAGCATGCCCTGCAGAGAGCATTTGAACATCAAAGTATCCAAACAATAAAATCTGTTTGAAGAGAATAATAACATTAACAGTATCCAAAGGGAGCAACAAATGACAAAGTGGCCACTTAACCACAAAGCATTATCAAATCCGAAAGATACCAAAAGCATGTAGCCATTTACCGGAGATGGAAGATAAAACAGACCAGTAGTTTAAACAAAACAATGAAACACAGAACATAGGCTACAGTGCAACTCAAATTTTAAAAAGAAGCAAAAATGGGAAGGGGAAAAAAAGCACTTTGCTTTCACTTATAGTATACCTATCAATTTGAGAGTTACCTTGTAAAGGTCACTGTTGTGAGCCTCGGCATCTGTCAAGTCTTGCTTCAGCTGGAGAGTCTGCAACTTCTCTTTGCTGAGAGATGACTCTACTTCTTCCTTCTCAGCTTTGAGAGCTGCTAAAAGACATTCACTAGTTTCTTCAACTTTATTCACCTGCATGATGAAACTATGAGATGATGTCCCAAGGGAACGACAAGGAAAAAGACAAACAGAAGGATACCAGAAGAAGTATGGTCAAAGAGAACAAGTCATGACTCATGGCACTGCAAAAAAGAACTCGCATAGAAATATGACAATATAGTGGTTTGTCAGTTTAAATCATGTTCAAGTGACGGCAAATTATTGAACCCTTCAACAGCATAAAGCAATACGAAAGCAGGCTAAGCTTGTGGAGACAACAGCGATCGAAGTTTTGCACTGGCGTTCTGGCTTACCTGGCTTTTACATTTAACGAACAACAAATCCTGCATTCTTACAAATATCTCAGTTAACGCCACACATCTACATTTTCTGTTACTCAAGTAGTATATACATTTAGTGACAGTGACCTGCTATTTGAGATATCAGAAACCAATCGCTCTACTCAACTCAAATTTTAGACATTTAGGCCTATCAGCAGACATTTAGCCAATTTAGAACTGCCTCTGATGGTATAAGATGTTAGTGTGATTGAAGCGCTAGAGAGAAAAAAAGAGGGAAGTACCGTTAATCATTTCTGGAAAGCTAGGACAAGTTGGAAGATTGAAGGCCAAGAAGAAAATGGCATATTCTTATATCATAGATCCTCTGTTTCACTTAAAATCTATAACTGGAGGGTTGAGTTACAGAAATAAGGATTTTTTTTATTTTTTTTGATAACCGTGGTGTATGGTCCAGCTAGCGCACACTTCGACTAATTACACGGGATACCTGCTACCTCCCACTAGTAACAGGTACCAGTTAAGGCTTGGAGGGTGAGTTACACACGTCTGGAAAGGAACATATTTCAAACTACTGGATCCTAACGTTTTATTTTTTTTCCTTTTGGGATGCAAGAAAAGATATTTGAAATTTTCAACATCAAAAAAAAGTGAGAAAATAGGAAAAACTAAAATAGGAGGACCAGACATGTTTTACAGAAGCGCTAATATGGCCCGCAAATGTAATTGCTAATTGAATAGTATATGACATGCCAAACCTTCAAGCATGTTTGTTATTTGGTTTAAATTTGCTTAGGTGATATTAACACATATACCTACACAGGTATACTATGTTTGATGCTTGTTTCGTGTGCCAGACTCAGGGACTCATCTTTGTCTCTATGCCATGTGAAATGTGTGCGCTAAAGTGGTTAAAATTGACTATGGTTAATCTTTCAAGGACTATAAATTAAAGTTGATTATATAAAAAAGACTAAATTCTTTTCATTGGGATTGACTATGTTTAATCTGCACTTAAATGACTCTGCCAGTATGAACATCCATGAATACTCTTGTTGGATATAAAGATATATGAACAAGGAATTAACAAATCAAACTCACCCATGTGCAATTAATGATGTGGATTCAATCCACCCAATAAATGCACCTCACAATAGTTAAGGAGGAGTCATAATTATAAATCTATAGCACACAATCATTTATTGCTTTCACTATTTTTAGTTTTTATACAAGATACGTTACACCTATACATAGGTGGTGTTTCGTAACAAGCAATCATCAATTTCAATGAATTCAAAGATCCTTTGTTGTCTTGTTTGAACAACATTTTTATTCTCACGAGCTTTTTTATCTCTTTCTTAGTCTATTATCAACTACTCGAAATATGCAAGGAATTTTAGAAACAAGACATACCTAGTTGGTTGAGGCATATTCTCACAGAGAAGAGAACAAAATGTGAACTTCAAATGCAGCTTTATAGATGTACCTATTTGTTTTTTTTTCCCGAGTAGATAGATTAACATACTAGTTATCTTAAAGAAAGTTGATAGCACAATTAAACTGAGATCTCAGTGTACAAGAAAAGCTAGCAAAATTCACATCACATCACCAGTCATAAATGCAAGATAATGAATTTCAAAGCATCTGAATACCGTTGGCTCGGACTCAACGTTGTCCATCACAATTTCCGTTATTTTGCCGTCTTGGCCCATTCCATACTCTGATTCCATATCTCTTGTGGCATTAGTCGCATTCTGCACTGCTGAAACACTATCTGCAGGAGTCTCAATCACTTTGGATTGAAAGGTTGACTTGTGGCTTGGTTTTAGTACGCTGACCTTAAAACAGTGATGAAAGACACCATAGAGAAATTTAATTAGCAGAAGCATAGCAAGGATAAAGAAACCAACCAACAATCACTTGCCCCAGTGGAAGGGCTGACCAAACTAGCAAAGAGAATAAATATGATTTAGCTGTGCTGGAATTACCTCATTATTATATCGCCCATTGTATCCTCCAAAAGAAACTACAATATCTTCACCATTATATGAACATAAGACCAAGCTCAAGCCCTTTAGGACAAGAAATTGTCTTAAGTTAGAAGCTAAAACACTTTGATATTTAGAGAAAAAGACAATATAGCAATCTCTTAAGCATAATTTGATATTCGGAGAAAGAAAAACGCAAAATATCAATCTCTAAGAATACTTAAGAACCCAACGTACTGTTATCTATTTGAAAAATAATTTCATGCAAACGCAGGTTCATCAAACACATTTAGGTCCCAGATGATCAGTGGCCCGGGCAATAAGGAACAATACAATAGTCTTGGCATAGTAGAAACTGAAGAGTTCCCAAACTTTCCAACATCATTTCATTGTTGTTTACTTCTTAAATGAGGAACAATAAGTTAAAACTTTTGACAACTAAAACAAATGCAGTATCAAAATTCAAATCATCTCTAACTTAGGCTTAACCTGAGATGGTAACATATTCATATCTGTCTGCATCACAATTTAGTGGTAACTAAAGATATTGCAACCGCACGGACAATCTAGATTTTGTCAAGCTTATTTCCACAGAAGTTTAATCAGGGATGAGCGTGATCAGAACTTGAATAGCTCAAGGGTACTGATGGATGCTCTTCTTCATTTTTGTCTGCTGTATTATGTCACATTGATGACATATCACAGATTCTGTAGAGTGTCGAGCACACCTCAGGAATTCAATCGTAGGACCACATTGGACAGCCAGAATAATGGGATATGGAAACAACAGAAGCAGCACGTGGCATTAGTTCAGACAGCTCAAATTTGAGTCATCCAACTAAAAATTATTTTTTAGTTGGAAAACAGAATAAGCAAAAGCTTTGTATCCAGTCCAGATACTTAAAGGGGAAAAAAAGGAAATGAAAACTGGTAGGTTGCTTGAAAAAAGAAGACGCCGCCCGGAACAGGAATACCTCAGTGGCAAGAGGAACATGTCCTTGAACAGTTGTTACAACTGACCAAGCCAAAGTAGACATGTTGAGCACAACAGTTTCAGAGACCCCTGCAACAATTGTAAGATAATAAGAACAGCATAAAGTTGTAAGAGAGACTGAAACAATAAAAATAAATTAAAAAAGCATAAACACAAGAACGATGTCAATGGTCCACAACTAAAATCATACTGAAGCAAATATAAGTGATCCACAGATATCATAATTTTTTGTCCAACTCCGGATTACTGCTTTCACTTTCTAGAAAAATTAGAATCTACAGTACGCTCCCCCCCAGATTATAAACAGAGTGACCTCAGATTTCTACTGTACTTTTGCACCGGCTATTCAGATGATTCTTCACAGAAAACCAATCATGCTAAGCACAACAAGCTTATGCATAAACCAAGAGACAAACCCACAAGTCCCCTGAACCTGTTAACTCTCACGGGTCATTTGGTAGGGTGTATATGAATAGTACTGAATAGGGTATATTAGTAATGCTGAGATTAGTAATTGTAGGATTGGTTATACTAGGATTAATTATGCTAGGATTATTTCTTATCGACTATTTGGTTTGGTGTTAAAACATACATTGCATAATTGTTTTTGAAATTGTTTGTATACAAAAATACCCTCCACATTCTTTAGCTTTGTATGTGAAAAAGGTTTTGGAAGGGCAGTTATGTCTTTATACATGCTTATCCATGTACCAAAAACCATGATATTGCTAATGTCATGGATTGCTATGTATAAGAATAGTACTGAATATACATGTATTATATTCCCTAATAATACCAAACGACCCCTCATAGTATTAAAATGCTCTAGTTCTGTACTAGATTAGAAACAGTTGACCTCATATTTCTTCTGTACTTTCACTCATTCATCTGCACCGGCTATTTAGATGATGCATCACAGAAAACAATCATGCTAAGCACAACCTGCTTATGCAAAAACCAAGAGACAAACCCACAAGTTCCTAACCTGTTAACTCTCATAGTATTACAATGCTCTAGTTCACACATCAAGAAAAGAATTTGTACATGCAACTCAAAACCTTAAGGCAGGGGATAGAGTAAAAAGAGACATTTGCAAATCAATTTGGAAAACCCTTACAAAGCTGATATGGGAAGCTATCGTGTCAACATCATCTCGCACATGTAACTCAGTTCTAGGGTTTATATACTAGTTGATTGTTTTTTGCTCTGCTTTGGCTTTTTAAAAGGCTTAGTATGCTAAAGAGTCAGCTAGAGTAGAGAGAGTAAGCTCAACAAACTCAAGAGTGGACAGGAGAAGAGTGACTAAGCTCAACAAGCTAAAGTGGGGGCTGGAACAAAGAAAATGGACTCAGAATGCTGAGATACGAACCTAGAACAAAGTTAGCGGCTCAATGAGTTGAGTTAAGATAGCGAAGCCCGGAGAGATGGGAATAAGCGAAGACAATATACAATTGAACCAGAAGTAGAGATAAACAGTTGTAAGCACCGAATTAACAGTGAGAACAGAATCAACAGATGACCGAGATTTGGCTGATATGACATATTAAATGATGTAAGCCGCCTTATCTGAAAGATTAACCCAAGCTTAAACACTTAGAAAGAAGACACATTTATTTATTTATTATAGGTTCGCAAGACGTCCTTACACAGGGGCTGACACTCTCTTTCTTGGATCAAATACCTATAAATATTTTGTCGGGCTAGTGGAGGTAAGACTCAAACCTAGAACCTCACAAGTTTTTAGGTGAAGTGGTTCACACCATTGAATATAGTATCAGAGTTCCTGGGTCAAGTTCAATAAACCCATCAACAATTGAGGCAATTCACACAGTTCAAAATGTAAAAGAACACGAGCTTACAACGCAGCAATGTATCAGCGTAAACCCTTTAGAAAGGCCCTAACATAACCAATATGTAAAATGTTGTAGATCTCTAACATATCTTCTACAAGACATTTTCTAACTTGAGAACTACCTTATCAAAAGAGGTTGTACATAACCTTTCCTTTTTTGGGGAAAGATGTGGATAACAAGTTGAGAGATAAATAAACACTATTTTACCATGAAAAGTTAACCAACCATTCGAACTATCGAATGGCCTTTCCCAATTGTTCAGGGGCACATAGGGACACTTCTCATGCACCAACAACATTGACTCCAAGATTCTAGGAAGTAACAAGATGATACAGTCAACCCTCTCTATAACAGCCTCGTTTGTTACGATATTTGGCTTTTACAGTGAACGGTTGTTACACACATATAACAGCATTTGACGTTAAAATAATTTTTTGGTTGTTATAGATAAAAATTATTCAAAAATCAATTATTTTTTCTTTTTTAATGTTACATATAAAAGATAAGAAAACTATTCAAATTTAAATCTCAAAAGATATGCATATTTCACTAGTTAAATATTGAAGAAAGCAAATACATTTTTAATAAATTCATAACTAAACCTATACATATTTAAACTCTAAAGCAAACATTTTAAAGCTACCTAGAAAAATAAATTCTTTCAAGATTGATGGAAGAACTTTGTAATTGTAGCTTGTTTCGTAGATTTCATTCTCTTACTAATTTAACGCTTGAATTGGCGAAGGTTCGTGTCCAAATTTCAGCAAAAAGGTATCCAATAGCTTTCCCTTTAAGACAATCTAAGAGCTTAACAGTTAAATTTTCTATCTAAATATTTTTTGGAATTTGTCAAATAGAAAAGATATCATGTGTAAATCTTCAAATCTTATATATTATGCAAGATAGAAACTTGTTATACTGGGTATGTAGTTATTGTTGTTGTTGTTGTTGTTATATAAACTTGTTTAATGGAATAGATTGTGTGCATATTTTTAGAATTATTAGTAATTTTAAAGATTCTATATGGTTGTTATAGAGGGGTAATAATTTTTTAGCGTTTTGCTATAAATATGGCTATTGTTGTTATAGGTAAAAAGTTGTTATAGAGAGGTAAAATATAACTTAAAAATTGGTTATGAGAAAAACTTGGCTTTTATAGTGAATGGATGTTATATAGGGATATTGTTATAGTGAGGTCTGACTCAGTGTTTTGGATAGCGTGCGGCGACAAATAGCAACGAGGGCCCGCTTCACTGAGGCGAGAGGCGCGCAGCGAAGGGCTCGCCTTTTTGATGTGAAGCGACAATTTATACAAAAACATAAAATATTATATACATATAACTAAAAATTCAATAACAATAATATATTAATAAATATATCGTTCAAAAATTAAAGACTCAATAGATAGCCATCGACTCATAGTAGACTATAAGTCAACAGTTGAAAAAAGTCAAACAAAACGGGGCCTGGAAAAAACAGAGTGTTTGTTAAGAGAAGCAGCAGCCTCTGTTATTTTGCCATAACAGGGCCTCGAAACAGCCTCTGTTATTTTGCCAAAACAGAGCCAAAAAAAATTAAGAGAAGAAGAAAGAGGAAGGAAGGAGCCTCTGTATTTTGCTCGAAAAATAGAGCACAAAAACAGACCTCTGTTTCTGTTCTTTTCGACAAAAAACAGAGGACAAAAAATAGAAAGAAGAAGAGAAGAAGAAGGAGAAAGAAGAAAGAAGAAGAAGAAAGAAAGGATACTCAGAGAAGCATACCTGGTCTTTCAATGGCAGAAACTTGATGAAGAAGAAGATGGCACTTGGCAGAAACCTCAAGCTTTCAGATGAAGAAGACGATGGCACAGTAAATGCGAGCCCTAATCGGCTAATCGCGAGTTCAGATGAAGCTCTGTTGTTTTGTTCGAAGTTGAAGAAGCTCTGTTGTCAAGCCCTAATCGCAACCCTTTTTGTTTAATCTTTGCCCTTTTTCTTTTTTGTTATTTTAAAAAGCGACGCTGAACTCGCTTCTCGCGACACTGTCGCCTCTTGCCACACAGGCAAAGGCGAACGCTATTTTGAAACGCAACGCAAAAGAGGGAATGTAGCGACACTGCCTCGCATCGCATCGCCTCACGCTATTAGCGCTGAGGCGAGCGCTATTTATAACACTGGTCTGACTGTATAAAACTAATCCCTCTAGCCAAAAAAATTTAACTACTCCCTCTTTCATTTTGTATGATGGTATTGCACGAAGTTTAAGTAATAAAGACTTTTGACACATACCAAAAGTACCCGTAGAACTTGTGGTCTTAAACATGTCATGTGATTGCTATGACTACAAGAGCATGTCATCAAGGGTAAAAATAAAAAGTTAAAGAGTTTCCACGTACAAAAATGTGTCATTCTTTTCGGAACCAACCAAAAGGAAAGAGTATCAGATCAAATGGAATAGAGGGAATAATTGAAAGCTACTTCCTCTGTCCCAATTTAAGTATCATACTTTCTTCTTTAGTCTGTCCCAGAAAGAATGTCATACTTATTTAAAAGTAATTTAACTTAAATTTCTCATTTTACCCTTAATGAAATGATTTATAGCCACACAAATATCTATAACTTGTTTTAGACCACAAGTTTCAAAAGTCTTCTTTTTTCTCTGCCTCAGTCAAACACTGCTACATAAATTGGGACAGAAGGAGTACTATCTTACTCGCATGATCTGTTATGGACTAGAAATTGCTCAGACAACGAGATCGTCATCATATCTTATTCAAATTTCATATATTTAAAATTGTAGATTCTGCCAAGAACCCTCGATGAAGGAAAAAGGCACTAAAAATCCTAGCATAAACAACAGTTGGAACTATTATGAACGCCATAGCTATTCTTAAAGTACAAAGCATACCGCTCTTGTTGTTGCCTCCCCCAACAATAAACCAATTCTCTCCAACAGCTACACCAGCATGGCCGGCACGTGGACTTGGTATTTCACCCTGTTGAGTAGGCCTTGACCACTCCATCTGTAAAAGTTAAATTAAATAACAGTTACCAATAACAAATAATATTCTAATTTGAGCAGTTCTCTATCTTTTGGAACCGAAAATATTATCTCACAGTTTGCAGGTCAAGAACATGCAGATCATTGAAGCAAGCAGTGTGTGAGCCCCCACCAAAAACTAGAAGGTAGCGCTCTGCATGTATAGTGGCAGCATGATCTGACCTTGGAGAAGGAGGCATTCCCCTAAGAAGATAATAAGGTCAAGGAAAGTGGATATTACCAACTTATAAGAGTAAACTGCTTAAGCAACCAGTAAAGGCATATACCAAATGATGATGGTTTTTTAACGAAAGATAAAAAGATACATGGGCAAAATCTTTGTAAATGTTCACACTATTAGCATCAGTAGATTTTTGAAAATGTATACAGGCAATAAGACATGCAAGCTAACTAGATGAGGATTTCTTTTGCCAAACAAGAGAAAACTCCTAAAGTAGACAGATGGTAACTGACTTCTATGTCCTTCAAAAAGACAAGCAAGAAAATCTGAAGAAAAAATAGCGTGCTTAAAGACTTCCTGGAAGCATCTTACAGCGTGTCCACTTCATCCCAGGCCATGGTTTCTAAGTTTAGAATGTGTAGATCATTCAGGAGAGATCGATTTGCATCTTGTCCACCAAATATTACTAAGCTTGTTCCTACAAGGGTTACTGAATGTCCTCCACGGGAAACCTGCAAAAGCAAAAGCAGAAGTTAATCAACTCATCAAACAAGAATAATTAGTTTGTTTGTTTCGTTCGTTTAGACTAATAGCCTGTTTGGCCAAGCTTCTAAAATCAGCTTTATTTTGAAAAGTGTTTTTTTCTAAAAGTGCTCAGAAAAGTACTTTTGGCGAAAAGTTGTTTGTGTTTGGCTAATCAATTTAAAAAGTACTTTTGAGCAGCAATTAGTGTTGGCCAAGATTTTAGAAACTACTTCTAAGTATATTTTTCTCAAAAGTGCTTTTCAAAAAAGTGCTTTTGGAGAGAAGCTACTCTTTTCTGCTTCTCAAAAGCTACTACTGTTTCTACTCAAAAGCACTTTTTTTCTTTCTAGAAGCTTGGCCAAAGACCTGACTTTGGAAAAAAAAAAGAGTGCTTTTGGCCTTGGAGAAGTTTGGCTAAACAGGCTATAAGACATGAAACAGATGGATAGAAAGAATACAACATTTAAGTCAGGAAACATCCAACCCCAGAAATCATCAAATCAGAAGCAGGGACGCCAAGAATATTTGAAGCCACTAAAAGGTAAAACAGCATTATGGGATAAACAAATATACCGGTGTCTTTCCATATGTCTTCAAGGTCGACCAAGTATGCATTTGCAGATCAAACACCATCACTGGCAAACAAATGGCACATAGCATTAAGCAAAAAAAAAAAAATCAAGTAAATAAGGTTCTATGTAATGACTCGAATCCTATGAAGATACTCTTTAAGTTAGGTGACCAAAACAGGTCGGTAGTTTGTCTCACTTAGGCAAAGCCTTTAGTGCAGACACAGATGTGCTAAGGCATGTGCCTCATTACCCATGAGCTCTGTCTGGAAAATAATGACACTAAACAATAATGTCTCACTTTATTGTAGTGTCTGAATTCCTTCTTCCTTTTTGTGATAATTTGTAGTTTTTTCAATTCCTTTGTTCATACAACTATTATTTTCTTAAGTGTATATTTTCCTTTATCAGTGTGAATTTGTAGTTATCATTCTTGAATTCCTTCCATATATGGGTTTTGCTACCTACTACATGAAGGTAGCAGGTTAGCATTGTACCCATTATTTATTTCACGAAAGTGCCCCTTAACCTAATTAAAATTAGAGACTTTTAAGGACTTTTCAATCTTTTAGTTTTCCGTAGAAAATTCGTGCCTGAAGCACTCTGCATTCTCTCTATGAATCTTTTCTTCATTTTCAATTTTCTCAACCTTCCATCTCCGGGCATACTTCTCAATTTCAAAAATTCAAAGTTCTTTATAGGATCTTTTCTCTATGCTACCTTGACCAATACGAACTTAGTGTTCATCTTCTGGTTACATTCAATTTTTCGTTTTTGAAGTAATAAATTATTCCATGAACTGTTTCAAACAGAAAAGAACATAAGATATTGATGTCGCACCATGTAGATTCAAAAAGATTAGAATATGACATTGAAAATGCCTTTGGTTTCCTCTGCTATTTTGATTATTATATTTAAAAACTTGTACTTTTGATGGTTCTAAAAAAGGGTAATACAGGTTCTTAACAGTATTTTCATGGATCCCATAATAGGGGTTTTAAGAAACATTTCTCGACATCAGAATTTGGGGTAGAGCCTCTAGAGCAAAACGGTGGAGGAAATGGCAGATGGGTGTAGGAGAATGTAGAGATGGAAATTGGGGATTTAAATAAAAGACTGAAAAGCCCTTAAAAGTCTCTATTTTAATTAGGTGGCAAGGGGCATTTTGGTGAAAAAGTTGGTATAATGCTAACCTACTACCTTCATGTAGTAGGTTAGCAAAACCACATGTGTATATATGTAGAGAGCGAATTTTTTCTGTTGTTTGTGTCTTTATTCGTTAAACTTAAAGCTCGTGCTTTATTTTCTCTTTGTGCGTCTTTATTCATTAAAGCTCATGCTTTATTTTCTCTTTGTATTTAAAGCCCAATAAACAAGGCCAGAAGTTCTCTAGGTCATGGAATAGTACTTTGCAGATATTCATGGAACATAAATGAGACCAGAGCGTCTTGCGATCTTCATACGTGCATGTATGTCACCCAGTACCTTGCAATATGCATGACTGGATAATATTGGTAGTCATAGGCCCAAAGCTGGTCAAAGCATTCTAATGAGCCAAAAGTACATCTTCAAATGGCTCAAAAGTAAACCCCAAATCTTCTAATGATTATCATGAAGCCAAGAAGAGTAATTTCATCTCTTTCTTCTTTTCTTCTGGGAAAAGAAACTTCCATTTTCAGGTGTAATGACTTGGAGTAACTACACCTGAATCATCTCTAGGCTGCTCTTATACAAAGAAAAAATTGGAATCCAATTTAAGTGACAAGAACAAACCTTGCACACTTTCAGAAGGATTTCTCATATGTCCACCAATTGATATGAGCTTAGTTCCTTCCCATGGTACCTAGAGAGAGAGAGAGAGAGAGAGAGAGAGAGAGAGAGAGAGAACAGAGGATAACTAATATGAGCAAAGAGAAACCTCAATGCTTATGTGGGTTGAATCCCCATGTAAATACCAGGCAGAAGTTGGCGTAGCTACCACAATAATTTGATTATTACAAAAACCATATTTCAATACTAACCAGGGTGTGACCAGCCAAAGGAGCTACTGGTACGGGAGAAGCCTCACCACCAGCTGCTTTAACTTCAACTCTAGACCATGTCCAACTCTTCAAGTCCAAAGCCTGCATTGACCCCCAATCCATAAAAGTTGAATGTCCAGCAACCAAAGGAGGAGAAAAACTACAATGGAAGAATACCTACTCTTTAGGATTGGGAAAAAGAAAATCTAATGAGGCAATAACATAAAAAAGTTGAAAAGAATGAGACTAAGAATGAAAAAATCTGCAGTAACTAGTGTTAACCAGCTTCCCAGGACAAGCATGGTAAAGAATCATCAGAGTTGAAAATCTTATGATCTGTGATAAGTATAAAAGACTTCAACAACTATATATATATATATATATAGATATATATAGATATATATAGATATATATATATATATATAGATATAGATATATAGATATATAGATATATAGATATATAGATATCAATTACAGCTTGCTTAGATAGTTTTCATACCTGGAGATCGCTAAGGTAACGCCCATTGTAGTTGCCCCCGAATATATACATCTTATCATCAATAACAGCAGCTCCATGCTGTGAAAGAAGATGGAGATTGGTTGAGAGTATGAGTAAAAGCAACAACAAATAAGAGATGCAAAACAAATACCTCATATCGAGCTTTCAGTCGTGGAGTAGATACTGGAGGTGAAACCCATTGATCATATACACTAACTGCACCAAAACTTTCTGATACAGCATCTTTATCCCAAGCATCTGACAAGTTGCCATTTTCAATAGGAATAGTTTTTGTCTCAGGAAAAGTATTTCCGTTTTCAATAATTGACTCAGCTTTTGGATTATGCTGAACGAAAGGAGAAAATGGGAAGTTAAAGGAAAAGATGAAAGCTCAGATTAGGGAAAAAGAAAGAGAGAAAAGAATTAAAGAATCATACAAAGGAAAGGGAAACTCACATTCATATCTCCGTCAATTACAGGCTCTGAAACAAAATTTGAGGCCCTGGAATACCAACCTGGATCTTCTTCCTATTCATGTTCCATAATAAATAAAAGTTGTTTAATTTTTTCATTCATACCGCGAAAATTATCAAGATAGGCAGGGTTAGCTCTGCACAGACCTCTAATATTTTTACGAAGAGACGCATTGCCTCAGTGGAAGCCATGTTACCAAGTCCATTCCAGCTACAAATATAGGACCACCTTTTAGAATACAAATTCAGCCCACAATAATGCATATGGAATATTAACAGCTGTGAGTAGGATTTTTTTTTTTGGCTGTGGCACTGGGATGTCCTGTTTTCTTTTCTTCTCTTCTCCTCTTTTTCTTCTTTTTATCCTTTTATCTTTTTATTGCTGGCTCTGGGATACCTGTTTAATAATGAAATAATGAATTACCTTTTGGGCTAGGACTGACTATCATGATGAATCTTGATTATTAATATTCCAATTTCATAATCCCATTAATCAATCTTTTCCCCTGCTTGTTATCTCGTCTCTAAATTTGACATATAGGCGACCTGTTCAACACCAAACAGGTCAATAAATATTCAAGGAAAAAGAGCTAAAGATGCCCCTATCGTTTGGTAAATGGTTTACTATGGAGCTCCGTCCACCTATTGGTCCGAAAATACATACAACGTTATCTTCTGGTCTAAAATTACCCCCGCGACTAACGGCAGAATTTGTGGACCCCACTTTTAATGTGTTGGCATCACATAATTGGGTCACGTGGCTTAGTGGGTCAGACAATACATATGGGTATAATATACCCGCCCCATTATCCGACCCGCCCCAATTATTTTATAACTTGAAAATCTTGCATCTTCACCGCCCTATTTTCAGCCATAACCACAGGATTCCGAAGCAATCCATCTTTTCCGGCTACCTCTGAAATTTCCGAAAAACTTTGCCCTCATTTACAACACCACCTCTCCTTGTTCACTTCCTCAAAGTCTCAAACCTAGAATTTATCAAAACATCTTCACTGCAAAATTAACACCATCTCTCCTTGTTCACTTCCTCAAAGTTTCAATCCTAGAACAATTTACCAAAAAACTTTTAATACCAAAATTAATTTTTTTTGACTGGCCTGTTTAGGGAATGAAAAAGTACAGAAACCTCCTATAAAAATAATTTTGGTAGCTCACATATGGAATAAATAATTAGAAGTCTTAGAGTAATTTAAGACTGAAACATCAAGAATTTGAATAAAATATGTGAAGTGTCTAATACCAGTCTATCACCTGTAACCATCTTGAGATTCTAATTGTTCATCTTAAATGGTTAAGTACTTCTTTTTCATCTCAATGGCTGTTATATCTGGAAGGCAGAAACAAACAATTTCAGCTATTACACGACGACCCAAGAGAACAGAGATACATCCAACAATAAGAAGATACATTAAGACCCGGTTTGGATCCTACACTGTTAAGGAAAAGAATGTGAAAAGAAAGGAATATATAGTTTTAATAATGGTAAGGTAATTTTATTAATAAGAAAGTATCAAGTACATACGCTATAGCATGAAAATAAAGGAGTACATAAATTTTTGGAACAAGATTTCCTGATTCTGATTGGATCATTTGGGGAGAAGGAAAAAAATGGAGAAATGTGCAGATATCCTCGAAGAAGAACGGGAAAAAAGAAGAAAAAGAAAAAAGAGGGCTCGGGTTATAATAGAGTTGGGGCGGGTCAAATAATGAGGCGGGTAAATCTGAATATAAGGAATAAAAATAAGGAGCCACGTGGCCCAATTACGTGATGCCAACACATTAAAAGTGGGGGCCACAAATTCTGCCGTTAGTTGCGGGGGTAATTTTAGACCAGAAGATAACATTGTATGTATTTTCGGACCAATAGGTGGACGGAGCTCGATAGTAAACCTTTTACCAAACGATAGGGATATTGTTAGCCCTTTTCCGAATATTCAATTATATTACTTATCATCAGTTGTTATCTGTTTCAGAAGCCAATTGACGCATAATATGCCATTAGTTATGACCCCACAATTGTTCAATGCGAATGAGACTGCAAATGTTTTCCTATTACAACGACCAAGGTTCTTCTCGCCTATGGCACCACTATTTGCCTTAGACAACTGATTGTCGTCAACCGCTTGTCTTCAGGTGTTGTCAAAAGTGAAAAGCTGTAAAAAGCGCTTTAAGTCTATTGGGCTTTAAGCGCAAAAAGCACATAAAAGTACTAGCTTTAGTAAGAAAAGGCGCAATGACGGTAAAAAACAAAAATATGTATGTAATTCAAGAACAAAATAATAAAACAAAATAACAAATTCATTCATAATGTTTTCCTGCCTCTTTGCCCTTCCAGAGGTAGGGGTAAGGCTGCGTACATCTTACCTTCCCTAGACCCCACTTGTGGGAAACTACTGGGCTTGTTGTTGTTGTTGTTGTTATTCATAATGTTTTCCTTTACAGCTAATACACTTATTTTCTAATTATATTTGTTGTTTATTCCCGCTTGATTCACAATAAAACTCATGGGCAATGAGGCGCATGTCTTAGTTTCTTGCCTTACACTGAAGTGCAACCTCCTTGAGCTTCTTTGGGCTTCAGGGCTTAAAAGCGCCTTAAATGAGCCTTTGACAACACTGATGTCTTCCCATCCCTGGCTGTTGCTAACTGTTATAACACTCCTTCGATTATAAACTAATGAAATTGTTAGCCTGTAGCAATGACTCTACTTAAAGCTCTGCTGCTGGAGACCTTCTGATGTCGCAGCACAAATGAGAGAAGGGAAAACAAAGGGGGAAATGAGAATGAGAAGAAACAGAAGCAAGAAAGAAAGAAGATTTGAGAGAGAACAAAGAGAAAGAGCAAATGAGATAAAGAAAAGCTAGGAAGAGGGAGAGAGAGAGAAAGAGGAGAGAAATAGAGAATGGGAGAGAGGAGAGGCTGAGAGGGGGAAAGAAGGAGAATGGAGGAGGAAGAAGGGGCCTGTAATACCAAATGAATTAATTAACTATTTATGGAAAAACGTCTAGAATTACTTATTTATGAATAAGACTCTTGTGTGTTTTTTTGAGAAACTTATAAGAAGGAAAAAGAACTAGTATCTACTTTCTCAACATAATACAGAACAGTCCTATTCATAAATAAGTAGCTCTAAACGGTTTCCTTTTAAATTTTCAATAAGTATCTCTAAGCAGTTAGTATTCATAGAACAATTAACACTCTATTCTAACTTAAAGATAAAGACTACTGCAAACTACTAGGTAGACATTATCAGTTACTAATAGACAACTTTATTTTCAACTAACCAGAGTAGAAATAAATAAAATTCAATGTTATTTTGGGTGCTATCTTGTTTTTAAGCTACATCAACTTCAGTTAGGCAATGGAATGTATGTCTAAACTAATTTTATGCAGACATAAGAGAATTTAGCACAAATATGTTTATCATGTAATGAAAAAGGTAAAAGAAAAACTTCCTCGAATAAAGTAGATGATGAAAATCAAGATTAGATAATATTCGAATGATAGAGCTCATTAAAAGAAACCTTGTCCATTTGCTTTGTTCTACTGGACTCCAACTTCTAGGCTTAGGAATCTTACAAGGTCCTACAATTGCCTGCACCAATTAGACACAACAAGAATATCAATAGTCATACTATGTGCCAGATCCTTTGGAATTCAGCAAACAATTATAGAGTGCATAAACAAGAGAAAGAAAAATCATTTCTTTTTATAAGGTAAATAATTTTATTAGTATTGGGAGAGAAAGACTCTCGTATACAAGAGGCATACCAAAAAGTAGAGAAATTACAAAAGAACATGATTCTTATGGAACGACACCCAATCATCTATATAGATAGGAATCTTATGGGTGCACCAAAAAACAATCACAGACAAAAGGCTATTCCTTAAATGTACAAAATCATATTCAATCTCCTCAAACACTCCTATTTCTCTCATTCCATACGACCCACATAAGAGCTAGCAAAGTAACCTCCCAAGCCGTTTGCTTCATCTCCTTCGTCTAACAGTCCAGCTATGCAACACATATTTTGACAGTGCCTTGCATCACCCACTATATACCAAACCACCAATTCAAGATCACCCTCCACCGACCTGACGCCACCCTACAATGACCAAAAGATGATCAACTTCTTCACCCGAACATTTGCACATATAACACCAACTAAAATAAGTAATATTTCTCTTTGGATTACCAGCCGTCATAATCGCTCACCTCACTGCCAACCATGCAAAAAAATATACTTTCTTGGGCACCCTTGGTATCCAAATCGATAAATGTGGAAAATTTGTCTCCTCTCTCACCAGCAAACTTTGAAAAAAGATTTGACTGTAAGAAAAATCAGTCTATTCTCTACCCTCCATTTTCTAAACTTAGTAGTCTTAAGCCTTACACCCAATAGCACAACTGAAGAGAATGAACCATGCTAAAACTTACTCTCTTTTTTTTTTGGCTAATGAAAGGAACTTGAATTATAAACGGGAACTAAAAACTTATGTTTCTTAAAAATGATACAACAACAACAACATATGCCATCAACCCTCTAACACCACCCCCCCCCCC